CTCACCAGCACGGCCACACCCGCCACGAGCTCCTCGCCACCCCTGAAGGACGGGACACCCACACGGGCTGAGGAGAAGCACAAGTGCCGCAGGTCAGGCTACGGCACCCGACGCAGCCAGGGAACCTCCGTGGTTCCGGGCAGATCTTGTACTGCCGACACCGATGCCCTCGAGGCACATGTACCACCAGCACGCCCTGTAAAGCCAAGACAGCGTTGGGCTGGTGTCACTGCCAGGCACCCTGGTACACCAGGTGTGGTTCAGCTTCTGTAGCTCACCCTCATACTGAGCAGCTCCAACTCCACCCGGAGCTGCTTCTCTCCCTCGAGGGCCTTCAGGGGAAGCCATAAGAGGAGTGGTTGAGGACACTTGGTCTGTTCAGCCTGGAGGAGACTGAGGGGAAACCTCATTGCAGTTTACGGGTTCTTCATGAGGGGAAGTGGAGAGCACTGATCTCTGTGGTGACACTGACAGGACCCAAGGGAATGGCTGGAGCTGTGCCAGGGGAGGTTTAGGGATATCAGGAAAATGTTCCCCCAGAGAGTACTGAAAGGCTCCCCAGGGAATGGGCACGGTCCCATGGATGCCAAGGAGCACGTGGACAATGTTCTCAAGCACAGGGCATGACCCTTGGGGATGGTCCTGTGCAGGGCCAGGAGTTGAACTTCATCCTCATGGGTCCCTTCCAACTCAGGATAGTCTGTGATTCTTTAGTCACACACAGCACCAGCTGCATCCCATAATCTGAAAGGTCTTTTCCAACCTAAATGGTCCTATTTATAATCTTTTTCACTACTCTTCAGTGCATGAGACATGGGACGGTGCATTCACACCCCCAGACATCCCTGTGTTCCTGTCACTGCACTAACAGTGCATCGTAACACCCACCTTAAAATTCCCAGCACACAATCCCACAGGCACAGTTTTGGGGGAATGAGGTCAAAATTGCTAAGGCACATTCAATTTCTTAGAACTAGAAACATTTTTCTTTCCCTTCAGAAGCTGAAGTAGGATTTCTAAAGAAAAATGAAGATCAAAGACAAAAGCAACCTCCCATTGTGTCTCAGAAGAGGAAACAAAAATGTGTAAAATTACTAAATCTGGAAACAGAAGCAAGAGAGCAGGTTTAAGGAAACAGAAGAAAACGCAGCTGTTGCTTGGGTACCAGCTGAAGAAGGGATAAAAGCAAAGCAGATCTCAGCATCCCTCCCTGATACATCTGATCAGCGTGAAATACGTCCAGGGAAACACTGAAGTTACTCTCAGCTGTTACAGATATAATTGAAGCTCTGGGCAAACCCTAGATATTCATGTAAAGGAAGAAATTTAATATGCAAAACCACTGAAACAGCATCACATCTTGAAAAGTCTAATAATAGCTCTAAGGTTTTTAAAGGCTTCTGTTAAAATAAGCTGCTTTAAAAATACATACAAAACCAGCAGAAAAATACCTCCCAACTTTTTCAGTATAAAAGAGGCAAAGTAACATCTGCTTTACTATTTGCCTGTTAATTACCAGCACATTACAATGGTGGAACTGGCAGGAGACAAAAAAAATGAACAAGAAATCACCATGGCACAGCTTGTAGTCCAGTGGCTCATGAACTATGAGAAATCCCATGAAAAAACTGATGACTTAAAACCAGTAACAAAAAAAATCTGTCATCAACATGATAAAAGGAATTATCGTAGTAAGGTTTGGAGGTGTGGAGTTTTTGTGTGTGTGTGTTTGGGCATTTTTTATGTACACTTTACACTCAGCATTAAAGAGCAAAAAGGGAAATTCACAGTATTTTAGAGAAACAGATTGCTTTTGAAAGCACAACAAAAAGGTAATAAGTTCAAACAGACTTTAAAACTTACAAAGTGATTTAACTATTGGATTCGCAACCAACTCCCCCTTGTTTTCTTGCTAACCATACTAGCATCTCTCTACTAACACTTTGTTCCATGTAGAATGGAACATAAAGAGGCAAAACCCAAGATAAATGTTGCCTCTTTTTGTCTCACCCCACTTCCCAAGAAATTCCTTCTCTTCTGGACTATTTCTACCACTGGTGACTTAGCAGTCACCAAAGCCTCTGGAATTACATGTGTCATACAACAGATACTGCCATCACTTGATATCCTGGTGCTGATACTGCCACTGAGTTGCTTCAATAGTAAGGTCTATTCAAATAAAAGATTAAAATGTATTCTCTAGCCATAGCCTTCAAAGGTTACCTAGATCATCATGGTAGCCATTTAGCAAATTTAATGTCATTTAAAATAGCAGCTAAGACAGGTAGAATATACCACTCCAAGGTTATAAAATGATTCATTTTGGTAGTTGTAAGCAACATTTTCCAGAGAAACTGTGATCAGCTGACAGAAAGCAGCAACCAACCAGCAAATTACCTCTTTTAAATGTTATGGTGAGTGACCATTTATTCCTGGTAACCTGCCTGGTAAGTGCTCCAGGCTCTCCAGATTACAGTATTATTTTAGCCTTTCATTCAGCTTTGGAAAGCGTCAGTCATTTATGGATATGAGCATGAACACACAAACGTTTTTATCTGGAAAACAAACAACCAAAAAAAACCAAAATCCTACTAAAAAAATGTAATTGAGAAAATGATGATGCATCAATTTAAAAGTTCAGGATCATTTGCTCCAGAATTTACACCTGCACAAATTTGGTTTAATGAGTATAAGGCAGGGACAGTATTTTAATCTGACAGATAGAAGAAAAAAACCTTGAATTTCCTGCAAAATTCCAGACTGCTGACAAATCTGAACTGTAGTGTTTGTTTCACCCAGAAACTCAGCAAACCACTCAGGAGTTTTGTGCCCTGAAACCCATGAAATTGGGATTTATTTTCTTTTTAGTTGAGTACACATTTTAAGTTAAGTTTAAATTAAGTTAGCAGAAATGACAGATGATTTTCAAGTGAAAGAATCTGTAGAAATTCCTATTTCTCTAACTCTCCAGAATCATGTGGTACAACAAAATAAGACCCTGCAAATATTGACCCTCCAAATTCCATTGTAGGATTCTTCCCATTCAGATAGTTTTACTGCCATCAACAGTACAATTAATCCAATATGCCCTACTGATCTGTGAGTTATTGCCATGGTGAACAATTCATTTCCAAGAACTCAACAGGCCCTGCCAATCCCCATGAGCACAGGAACAGGAAGGAGCTGGATCATGGCACCAGCCTGGCAATGACAGATCCTCTGGGGGTGGAAATAGTTGTGCTTCACCTACAATTGTGCATCTGGGTTTCCCATGGAGGGTCTGCATATAAATATTTCAATGGTTCTCCTGGTCTGCCTGTTTCATGCCCTGTGACGCCACTGCATCTTCAGAACCTTTATAGGAGAAGATTTAGTGCAGTATCAGGACTAATTGAGTTGCCTAATCAGGCCAGACCCACTGTACAGCATCTCGTGGTGAATCACACGGGAATGTGGAACCAGGAATAATCTCCACAAAACGAATCTTAATGCCAGCTTTCTTTGCTACTCCTTCATTATTCCAGCATGAATAAAGAACAAAGGATACAAAGATAAATTCCATTGTTTTATCCATGAATAAACCTCCAGGTGGTTGTGCTTATGTTAATTTCTGATGCTGAACTGTAGCTTTTCTGTTTTTCTGCAAAGAATTAAGTATAGAAGTTGTTTCATATGTGCTCACACTGGCCTTTGTTTCCCAGTGGGACTCTCATCACAGCTTTAGCGGGAGCTTTAAAAGCTGCCAAGCAATTTTGAAAATACCCCTGTAAGTGCTTAGCCACAACTGCTTTTGGTATAAATAAGCAAAATATTTACTTAAAAAGCATAAAGTCAAAAACATGCTGTGGCAACTAAATAAATCTGGTAATCCATTCTGAATACAAAGACTGATTTCAAGCCATCAAAGCCTGTCAAAATGCACTTACTGGATTGAACATTCTTATAATATTAACCATCATTTTTCATTGTAAGCCACCTACTCATAAGCTGTAATAGATGAAATAGATGATCCTAGATAAATAAATTTTGCTATAGGGAAGAAGGAAAATTATTAAGTTTAGTTTCAAATATCTGATGTGTTCAGCTAGGAAGATTAACACATTATTAAAATGGTTCAGTTATCAAAATGTATCTACTCAGCTCTATAGAGAACTCATCTACAACATACAGACAGAAAAATCAGCATATAAGGATAGTAACTTCTGTAAGAATATTTTGTCTTTCCAGAAGAAGACAAACAACATTTGACAATTTATAAACACATACTTCCCCTCACAAAGATACTGAAGAGTTAAACTATTCTTGCAAGAGAATTAAGATTATCTAAAGGGCATTGTTCGAAGTCAGGGCAGAAAACAGGGCAAGCAGGACATGATCCTGCAAAGTGATGGGAAACTGGGAGGAGACACAGCCAGGACAGCTGACCCCAGCTGACCCAAGGGATATTCCATCTGACATTGTGTTCAGTATATAAAGTGCAAGAAGGAGGAGGAAGGAGGGATGTTTTGAGTGATGGTGTTTGTCTTCCCAAGGCACGTGGGATGGAGCCCTGCTCTCCTGGAGGTGGCTGAACACCTGCCTGCCCATGGGAAGCAGTGAATTAATTCCTTGTTTTGCTTTGCCTGCGTGTGCAGCTTTTGCTTTCCCTATTAAACTGTCATTATCTCAGCCCACGACTTTTCCAGCTTTTACCCTTCCAGTTCTCTCCCCAGTCCTGCTGGTGAGGGAGCAAGCGAGTATCTGTGTGGTGCTTCAGTTTTGTCTGGGGTTAAAGCACACTGTGTGGTACCCAGGCTAAGTGACAATTGGGATTTGCAAAGTTTATTAAGCAGGATATTTGCATCATTTCCACATGTACATGAAAAAGTATAATCATCTTCACAGCTTTGTATTTACAGAAATATCACACCCAGATCCACAGCCCCAAATCCCATTAAGGGATGGTTTTAAGGGCACAAGGTGGTTTGTTATCCAGGACAGCCCAGTCTTTGATGGTCGTGTCACTTGACTTTTCCTTTTGTGCAATTCCGGTGTTGAATGTGCTACTCAACATAGTGACCAGATTGGTAATGCTTATATTTTATTTGTTATATTCAGTGATTCATATTGACACTTTGTTGTAAAAAATAACTGAAAGACTACACAATGTAGCAAAACCTAAGAAGGCAACTTTTGCTTTCAGAGCAGAAGCCACTTCAAACAGAACCAGAGTCTTCCTGAGATAAGCACAAGTATAAAGAGCCACCAGCATGAATCAGCTTCCCAAGGTGGCACCAAAAGCTCCTGCAAGCCTTGCTGAAATTCCCTCTGCTCCCTAACATCACTGCAGGCAAAAATCCTACCAATGAGACATGTGGGTATGAACTTGGAAATCTGTAGAATGGACAAAATAAACAGATCTAAACTTCTGTCTTCCAAACTTTTAGCACTTGACCTTGGAACATTTTAACAGTTAAAAAGGAAATCTCATTTGTCTTAAGAGGAAAACACCTGCCAGCTTCTCTGCACCTTCTTTGGAACTGCTGACCTGCAAGCATTTCAAGATCATAGATATGGTCTTTTTTGTCAAACTGGTGAATAATATTCTCCCACAGCTTTCATGGTGCTCATTTTCCTAAGGCATTCACAGGGTAAGATAGCAGAGAGCACCATCAGATGGCTACTATTTCAGACACGGATACCAAGAAAAGCTTAGCACTGACGGGAAATGCAGATGCCCTCTGACACGTGTGGGATGATGGCAATGAACCAGGACCTGGCCACAGGATGCCAGCCTCCAGATGTTCAGCCTGTGCCAAGGCATTCACTGAAACAAGTGCTGATGTAGATAAAACAAAGACATTTACTTCTGAAGCAGGAGATGGATAGTGCTGCTATGATAAAAGCAAGGCCATGAACCCCAAGGGTAGCACATCACTAGTTGCAGCAGAAAGTACCACTTAGCTGATGGATATTTATTTTAACAGCGTGACTTAATGAAAAGATATGTTTTAGAGATCTTAAAATTGTATGTCATGGATCTCTCTCACAGTAATTTAATAGAAAGAGATAACTGCGTATCCATCTCAACATCTATTTATCCTTAAGCATCACTTCCTGCTTTTCTCTGCAAGTACAGGGTAAAATGCAGCAGCATTTTACAGTCAAAAATCAATACAATCTCCTGAGGAAACAGCACTGCTCCACACTAGGTGCTACTGAAGTCAGTTCAAAAAGTGCCCACAGTTATCTTCTACAGGAAGTCCAACAGATACAAGCCTAAGCCACCATCAAATCTCTGTGGATGTACCAATAAACATCCCAGCCATTTCTGTGGGGCTCTGCAGAGAGATGTCAACTTCCACACACAGCAGTAAATTAAATTAAGATCACGGTTCCATTTCTTGTGTGCTTTTTAATGTCTTAAATGACTTTTGAGTGCACAGAACATGTCTTGTTTGCGTTCATTCTTGTTTCCTGTCATTATTCTATCCTTGTTACCAGTAAACAAAACACAGTTTTGTGTATTTATAGTCCCAGTTTTGTTTTTTTTCTTGTATAGACACTCTTGGATATATAAGTTAAGAAACAGTACTAATTAAATAAATTTACATGTGGTCTGAAAAGTCAAAAAAAAAATCTATAGAATAACAGAATTTTAAGAGACTGAAGCATTGTGGAAGTAAGACTTAAGAAAAAAAAATGCAAGGAC